TAAAGAAAGTTCAAAATGAAAAAGAAACAACCATAGTAGCCATAAGAAGCGACCATGGGGGAGAGTTCGAACGAAATCTGTTTTCAGATTTGTGTGACGAACTTGGCATTGATCATAACTTCTCAGCCCCACGTACACCACAACAAAATGGAGTGGTGGAACGTAAGAATAGATGTCTCGAAGAGATGGCTAGAACTATGATCAATGAGGCAAAAATCCCTAAGTATTTTTGGGCGGATGCCGTAAGTACCGCGAGCTACGTGTTAAACCGAGCCGTCATTCGACCGATACTCATGAAAACGCCCTATGAACTATACAAAGGGAGAAAGCCAAACCTTTCCCATCTTCGAGTCTTTGGTTGCAAATGTTTTATTCATAACAACGGCAAAGACAATTTGGGAAAATTTGATGCCAAGTCGGACGAAGGGATTTTTCTTGGTTATTCTCTTCGCAGCAAGGCCTATAGAGTATTTAATAAACATACTTTGACTATTGAGGAATCCCCTCATATTGTATTTTCCGAAGATAATACTCGCTTGGCAAGAAAGGCTATTTGTGATGATCTTGCAGATTCATTAGAGAGAGTACACCTTGAAGACGATGAAGAAGACACACCATTATACACCAACCCGCAACCACAATCTGAGGAAACACCTCAAGTGATGGTCGAAAGTGAAGACCAAGCAGACGAAGAAGAACAAGAGGAAGCCCAGGAACAAGAGGAAACCGAGCTTCCCATCGCTTGGAGAACGCACAGGAACCATCCACTTGACCAGGTAATCGGCAGCATCAACCACGGGGTAAGTACTCGTAACTCTCTTAGGGACACCGTAGGTCACATGGCTTTTGTATCTCAAATCGAACCTACAACCATTTCCGAAGCAATAAACGATGAACATTGGACCTTGGCTATGTAAGAGGAGCTAAACCAATTCAAACGGAATGACGTTTGGGAATTGGTGCCAAGGCCCGATGACCGTACGATTATTGGTACGAAATGGGTGTTCCGTAACAAACTTGATGAAAATGGAATAATCACTAGAAACAAAGCTAGGCTCGTAGCTAAAGGCTACAATCAAGAAGAAGGCATTGATTTTGAAGAAACTTATGCACCTGTAGCACGTTTAGAAGCTATTCGTTTACTTCTTGCTTTTGCTTCGTCTATGGATTTTAAGATGAATACAGCAGGTGTGTGCATGAAGCCGGGAGGGTCTTGCCCCCGGAATAGACCATGCCTGAGCTTGTTCGGACAGTGCGAATTGGATAGTCTTGATGAAATGAGGCTTGGATCATATAAGGGTTCAGAAGATCAGAAGATAAGAATAGCTAGAGCCTACAACAAGAAAGTCAAGCCTAAATCTTTTGAGGAAGGAAAATGGGTATGGAAAACTATCCTACCTCCCTAAAGCCTATCCCTAAAGCACTGTCCACTCGCAGGGAATTACCTTGGAGCTAAAATGGAGTATTTCTTGACTTTAGAGAAAGCCTGGGTATCCGACCCCCAGCACTGCCGACGTAGCCGGGAGCATGTTAAATATATATAATATATTTAATATTATTGTATTATTATTGTTACCATATTTGTATAGGTTTCCTATATTGTCTCTTACCATATTTGTATAGGTTTCCTATATTGTCTCTCCTACCTTAATTAGGATTGAGACTTTTGTATATATACATGTACTCTCCTCACAATTTATTCAATGAAAATACTTCTTCTTCACATCTCATCAATTTTCTCATTCTCCTTCATACGAAATAATTCATATTCATGGGTTAGAAAATCAATTTTAGCTTCTCGGACTTGATCCGTACCTTCATAGGTGATTTCTAGTTTGTCCCACATTTACTTAGCGGTGGAACAACAAGAGATTTTCCGGTAGTCATCCGGGTTTACGGCACAATAGATGATATTGATGGCCTTAGCATTGTTCTCCACTTTCTTGATGTCTTGTGCATCATACACATTCTCGGTCTTAGGGACGTTGGTTTCCCTGACCTTTTTCATTGACACGTCTTCACCATTTTTGATAATTCTCCAAAGGAGAAAGTTGGTGGATTGGATGTAAATCCTCATCCGCTCCATCCAATAGGTGTAGTTTGTTCCGTCAAACAACGGAGGCCTCGTGGTGGATTGCCCTTCACCTAAACCTGCGTATGAACTTTGAGTAGAAGCCATTGATCGTTTCTCTCAAGTGGTTAAGTCTTTCAGAGAGTAAGGCTCTGATACCAATTGTTAGAATAAGGGCCCAACGCTAGAGGGGGGGTGAATAGCGTTTAAAACAAAATTGCAGGAAATTAGAAACGAGAGCGTTAATGTAAAGAGCGTAAGGAAGGAGCACACCGAATTTTATCATGGTTCACCACAACGTGTGGCTAATCCAGCCTCCCGAGAGACTCTCTCGAGCTACACTAACTTTGTTAAGCTTGAGGGTGCTTAACAAACCGATACAACTTGAGAACCCGAGTCACACGAGCCTCAACACCTTTGCTCAGAGATACCACACTCCAAGACTTCTCACGCAGGAACCAAGAACTTCCTTCGATTTTACAACAAGGGAACAACCTCCCTTAAAGTGTATGAAAACACTTAAACACTCAGGAATAAAACTCTCACAAAGAGTAGATATGAGTGAACTAGTAAACGCTCAAGAACACAACAATTTTCTTCAAGAATTGGCTCTCAAATAGCTAAGAAAAATAGGAATGCTTATGCAATGAAAGAGTATTGAAATGTTGAAAAAATTGTGTGTAAAATGAGAGGATTTGGGTGCCATTTTATAGCCCAAAATGGGATAAAACCGTTGCTAGAGTTTCGAACAGGATGAAGACAAATTTTTCAGAGTTGTAGGGTGATAATCGATTGTCAAGTCTTGATAATCGATTATTAAACGATTCCCTGTCCAAAAGTTTAAAAATCTACCATTAGAGGACAACGGTAACCCAGATAATCGATTGTCAACAAGTGATAATCGATTATTGGTCCTCTCAGAAGATTCTGGGTTTTGGCTGCGAAGACTGATAATCGATAGTTGCAGATTGACATCGATTATTGCGTGATTTATACTGGTTCACCACCTTGTGGCTAGTCCAGTCCTCCGAGAGACTCTCTCAAAGGTTCTACTAAAGTTCAAGCTTCAACGGGTGCTTAAAAAACTGACAGTCGTAGTTTTTCGGGTAGTAAACCTTCCCAGTAAAGGGTTAGTTTTCTCTCCAAGTGTCGTATCTCTCGAGGAGTGGACGAAGAGAATTAGTTTAATTAATCTAATTACGCGAAGATTATGATTGGTTTATGAAAGTCTTCTCGAATTGATTATAAAAAGGGAGCAGAGTAAAAATAATAAATTAAGTTTACATAGTATAAGTATGGATCTGGTCCTAGGGTCTGGACATCATTTGGATCTATTTTATCATATTAAATTAGTGGTTGGAATAATAATATTTCTATTACTACTCATCCATTTCTAGATTTGTACTTAATCCGTTGCACTTGAATATCATAGCCTTTTGGCATACAATATTTTCTTAATAAATAGTTAATTAAATCTTTCGAGATTAATTAACTACATAAGGCAAAAACAATAGATTAACCACTCCAACATTAATTTAACATAAAAAAATAAACAACCAAACTAGTCCGGACCCAGAGATCCGGACCCTAACTCATACTATGCAAACATAAATTAAAACAACATTTTATTAAATGAAGAAAACTTACTACTTCCGTAAAAGCGGAACAGAACAGATCGGGAGTCAAATCCTCTAGAAAATACTTAAAAATAATAACTAAACTAATCTACAATGAAATATTGAGCAAATTGAAGGGGAAACCCGAAATGGGGTTGTGAGATGGTGTTGGAATGGTGGAGATGGCGCTGCTTTTATAGGACAGAGGCCGAGGTGTCCAAGTCAAAGTGCCTGGATCCAAAGCGTCCAAAGTTGGACGCCTTACGCGGCCCATTCATTCGCTGCTTGCGACGTGTCTTCCTTGATCTGCAATTCAGCCAAGGCGTCCAACTCCCAAGCGTCCAAGTTGGATGCCTTAGGCCCTGGTCCGTTAGGGCTTCGCGGCTGATGCGAGATCTTGGCCCAATTTCGCTAGTTTTCGGCCCGAACGTCGATTCTATATTCCCGGAAGCTCGTTCAAGCCCGAATCTTGATCCTTTGATGATTTATTCCCTTTTTCTCAAGCGTTTGAACATAGAATGGATGATTTATGATGATTTAATGTGGAATCCCATTTTATGACTCTTAGAACGAAAATGAGAGTTTTATTCATTGAAATCACATTTTATAAGATGATTAAATACTATTTACGTGCAATAACGTTTAGAATATGATGTAAATGATAAGAACAAAATGGACTTATCAAATTCCTCACACTTAAATTGTAACACCCCAACTCGAATAACCCATTTACCTAGATTATTTGAGCCGGAGTAGTTACCATGATGGTAAATACGCATGATAATTTGAAGGATAATTTAAAACCTATTTAAAATTTAACGTAAAAGATAATTTCAAATATTAAATTCAGAGTATTGCTGAAACAGTGCGGAAGCTTAAATATAAAACATAATCAAATTGTTTTACATTTTCTGGGTACTCGCCCGAAAAGGTATTTATTTAATTAAGGCATCTGAAATGTGGTCCACCAGTCCGTACATCTCTTCACTCTCATTGACCTCCGGGATGGGCTCCATGACCAGTATCGTTACCTGCGTGTAGCAAGTAAAACAAACTACACGCTCAGCATCAGCTGAGGAATACGCTAGTACAACAATTCCAAATTGAATAGCAAGTAGACATACAATTATTCATGATATGACATAATATAGCATATATATTCAAGATGATGATAATGATACATGATTGAAGTCATACATGATCATAATGATTGTACTTGATGATGATTTCATGCTGTATGATTCTAACAAGCAAGGACACCCTTGCGCTATGAGATTCGCCCATTTGGTACGACGAACTCACGCGGCCTTAGTCTCTCAAGGGAGACTAGAAAGTAGGGGTGGTACTCGAAGTTTGAATACCATGTACGTACACTAAGCCCGGAACGGTGATGTCGGACTAATAAGTCCCGCACATCACGCTACAAGAGACGCACTTCTGCCTGATCTCTTGCGCATGCACATGATGTGATATGTTTCAATATGGATGATGAAAATGAATTAAATGATATGAACAATTTGTAAGAAACATGATAGGATAAATATACTTAATTTTATTTGAATGAAATCTGATAAAAATATTATTTAATTAAGCTACGGGGCTCGGAACGGTCAACCGTTCGGGTCGACGAACCCTACTTTTGATATTTTTTTTGGATATCTAAAATACTTCTTTGAGTTGTTTTAACACTTATGATTAACATACTTATGTATTTGAAGTATTCTTAACATTTATATTTCCATTTAAGGTGAAGTATCAAGAAAAACATATTTCTTTACTTTATAAGTTTAATGAGTTTGGTCTTAAAGCATAAATGACTTGTAATATGGCAATCAATCCTAACAATATATCTAGATTGATATTCAACCAAGGATTGCGTTACTAAGGTGCAATGTACTCGCCTTGATAACGTTGAAGACGGAAGTGATAGGAATAAAGTATACGCCTCAACGAACGTTCAACGTACGGACACCTCTATCAACTTCAAGCTTCCAACGTCGGGTCTTCTCTACGATACTCTCTGGGAGTTCCTAATAATCGTTAGAGAATCGACGATAAGAGTTTTGAACGGAATGGAAAGAATATTGAAAAGAAAGTAGTCAAACCCGAGAGGCCCATCGCCACTGACGCAGTCTCGGTATTTTGACCATATCTCCTTCGTTTCTCAACGAAATCGCAAACCGTTTGATGCGTTGGATTTGCGAGACACGAGGCTACAACTTTTGTTCAGAAATCAGACTGAAATAATGACTTTAAGATATATGAAAATGGCTCACAAGGTGACGGTTTGCTGCTGCCAGGATTTTGAAGAAACAATGATGATTTCTTCTTCTTGTTTCACCAATGGAGTTGAAGTTCTTCCTCTTTTCTTTGCTTGAATGAATCTTCCAACAAGAGAGAATGATTGGAAAAGAAAATATGAGTTTTATGATAAGCACTTTGAATGGAAGATATGGATATGATGAAGAAAACATAGCCAACCCGTAGAACTCGTCACCACTGACGCAGTCCCGGTATTTTGGCGATATCTCCTTCGTTACTTAACGGAATCACAAACCGTTTGTTGGGTTGGATTCGTAACATCCGGGGCTACAAGTTTGGTATAATATATAATTCGAGAAAATTAATAGAGAATTACATAATTGACGACGAAGTTGCTGCTGCGTTTTTCACTCAGGATTTTGGAAACCTTGATGCTTCTTCTTGTTTCTTCTTCTTCTTGCTCAACAATGGAGATGAATGAAGTGGACTCTTCCACCTTCCTGAACTGCCGACAGAGAGAGAGTGAGAAGGGAGAGTGAATATTTGTGAAGTGAAATGAGAATTTGCAAAGTGGAAGGAAATATTTGGAGTATTATATTGGAGATTGGATTGTGGAGGTAGTGGGTTTCCTAGGGTGGCCTAATTGGAGACTTGAGAGACATGTGCTACGTGATTGAGATCAAATTGTGATTTTAAAATATTCTCCCACTCCGTAAGTGATAAACTGGCTAAAACGGTACGCGCTTTTTCACCCAAACTGTTCCGATTTGAAAACGGATCGCATATTTGGAATCAGACTGTCAAAACTAAAATTTTGATATAATTAAAATATTTTTCTGAAAACTTTTATTTTTCAGTGTTCGGGTCTGTCTAAGTCATTAATTAATATTTAAATTAATTAATTCTTTTAGGCCTAATTTCGAGGCGTTACATAAACGTTGCTTGCCCTCAAGCAACAAATTGAATAATTTCAAGTATAAAGGCAAATTAATAATTCCAGAGGCAAGGTTTAAGCTACATATTATGAAGGAAAGAAGAAATAAGATAGTCATCAACCTTTTTGTTAAGAATAAATGAACCTTTAGATTCTCACCCATATTGTTAGAAATGTAAAAGAATTTTGTCAAACCAATATCTTTACACCAACCTAAACAACCAAAATTTTCCAAACTTTCTTTGGGATAACTACATTTGTAAGAGTATTTTAAAGATCAAATAATTTTTTTAATGGCTAAATTGGAAAACATGTTCTTGCAAAAGTAATTGTTAAAGTGTAAGGGTTTAATTTTCTTTGGCATAATTTTGTCATGTTGACACGAGAAAAATTTATAACCTCATCCCGTGACGTAGAACCACGAGCTTTTTGGATATACACTCTAGAAAGTCTCATCACACGACATAGAACCGCATGCTTTTTGACTCTAACACTCAAAAGGCCTCATCACGCAATATAGAACCACGTGCTTTTCGGCATACTCACCACGCCTCATCAGTTGACTTAGAACCAACTGCTTTTTGGCTAAAACAAGAATCTCGGTCTCACCAAAGTATGCTTTGAAACATCACCCCTTATACTTTGAAAATAACTCTTTTTAAGAAACAACAAATACTCAAAAGAGCATCAGCAAAAAGATTTTCAATAAAGCACTTAAAAATTAATTGATTTAAAAAAACTCTTAATAAATTGTGAATTTATCCCAAATTATTTTAGAAAACATTCCCAAAAAGGTTAGAGTAGAAATAGAAGTTTGATAAAAAAATTTAAAAATCTCCAAGTTTCACGGGTGATAACTAAAGATTAATTAATCAAACAATTAAAACTGATGACTATTCTATAAAAATCTTTCCCTACAAATATATAGACAAAACAATTCCTAAACAGATCATTTCAACCAGAAACTCTTGCCTCCTCACACTTAAACGGAACCACGCCCTCGTGGCTAAAAGTATCTTGGCATTGGAGTTAATGGTTGAAATGCTCACATGCAATTACTGAGTTATCTCAATACTTATAAAATTCAAAGATGAAGATTGAAATAATAGATGACCATCATATGTAAAAAGGGAATAATGCATAAAATTTTCTCAAAATGGTTTTAAGAGTCATGTTGTGAAATTCCAAAATAAAAATCAATCAAGCATCCAAATCATGTTCAAAATAGTGGAGAAAAAGGGACTTTACTGATAAATTCAATATTCTCTCAATAGCAAACTTCAACGGGAGGTTGCAGAAGCCTCGAAGGTCTTGTGTTCTCCCCAGGTGAGACCTCTTCTTCGCTCCCACTGTAAGGTATGCCCTACAATTCTCTCATCTGCAAAAGCAAAGACAACAAACAAAATAACTCTTTCCCCCAAAACTGGTGCGGCAAGCATAACCTCAAAAACTAACAAATAAAACTATTGAATTTATTTACTCCCTCCGTCCCCCTGTATTTGTCCACATTTGACTTTTGGAACTGTTCATCTAAGCACTTTGACTCATCAAATTCTCTCAATGTGTAAACCTAAATATAGTCATGTGTGATCTTGTTTGATTTGTCTTAACATATAGATTATTAATATATAATTTTTATAATTTTTTATATACAAATTATATGATAAAATGGATTAAAAAAGTGCATTGGATGGTGTGCAAAAATGAAAGTGGACAAATACAGGGGGACGGAGGGAGTAATTATTTTAGTTATTTGAATAACGGGTTGCCTCCCGTTAAGAGCTTCTTTAACGTCTGTAGCTTGACGCTCACCCACTTTTTCCGCGACTTTCCGATCCGAGAGTCATAAAGTTTGGCCTTTTTTACTCTCTTCTGATACCACCTCGTTATTGCTCGGTCAAGGTCCAGGATCCTTGACTCATCCCTGCGGCTTGGTGGCAACAGGATATAAGGAGGAGACTCTAGATAGGTGGGTGGTGGAGGAAGTCTCCTCAGTTGATCCACATCATTGGCCTTCAAAGCAAGATTGATTTCTTCCTTGTCTTCAATGGGCTGACAATCCATTTGTGGTTTGATGATTATGACCGTACTTTCCCCCATGGATGAGTCTTCAGTGTCACTTACCAGAAGTTCATCCCAACTCTTTTGGCTCCAACTATCCTTCGGGTAGACAAAGTCACACTCGTCAAGTAGGGAGTCAAAGATAGTTTGGTCTAAGTCTTCTGATGAAGCATGATTATCTATAGACGTTATTGGTTCCTATGTGCTAGGTATTTCTTTGTCTATAGATTCCTCCTTAGACTCTTTGGCATTGGTATCTTGGGGGCAGGTAATGGGCTCTATTTCCTCTAGAACAGGGTTCCTCTAGAAGGGTGTCTTCAACACAATTAAGGAGATGGTCGTTTATTGCCATAGGCAAAACTTCCTCCTCCTTCTTTTCTTGAATAAGCATAGGTGGTTCTGAGTCAGGTCCCTCAGTTGGTTCCACCTCATGTACAACTATGCTAGTTGGGTCTTGGCTAGGAAGAGATTCAGGTAAAATCACCACAGTAGCCCTAGCGAGAGTTGTTATGCTCTCGGGTTTCTGTGATGGGGCAGAATTAGGTGAATCTTTCAGAACCGGGACCTGTTGGTTGATGGGTTCAGGGTTGGTCTTAGGTTCTAGAGCCTCTTTTTGAACATTAATCTCCCTCATTTGATCTTGAGATTGGAGGGAGCGTTTAAGTTCAACAGCCTTGTAGAGATCATTGACTAATTTATCACCTTTAGCCTCAGCTTTTAGTCTCTCTCTTTGGAAGTCATCTAGCATTTTCTGCATCATATCTGATCCTTCGCATAATCTCCGTTCGAACTATTTTTCCTTCCAGACTGATTCGAGAAGTTTTGCTCGTTCTCAAATTGCCACCTTGTTTGCTTCAATTTGCTCTTCAGCAAACAAAGTGTAGTCACGGGAGTAAGGTGGTTCGTACCAGGAACCTTCAGCAAATAAAACCTCGTCGAAATAGAAGATTTTCTGTTCTAATCTTATTATTTCTTCAACGAGTGGATCAGATTGATCGTCGCACATAGGCCCAAATTGGTCATAGTCATCTTTGTCATCATGAGGTTCATAATAATCATCCCCATCAGGATCTTGGTATGGAGAATATCCAAAGTTTCTAGATGGGGTATCATATGGTGATTCCTCATGGTAGGGATAATAGTCAGCCCCATTGTTGACTTGGTAGTCATCATCGTATGGGTACTGATGTGGGTGATAGGTTTGGTGGGGTTGAAACAGAGGGCGGTTGGGTGGTTGGTAGAAAGAAGTCGGACCTTAATAACCACTGGAGTTGTCCATAATAATTATTACGGGTGGTTGGTGAAAAAGAAGTGAGAAGATCGTTCCAACATATCTTCACCCAAGCTAATTAAAAGAAATTAAACTAATGCCGTGCCACTCCCTGGCAACGGCACCATTTGACAGTCGTAGTCTTTCGGGTAGTAAACCTTCCGAGTAAAGGGTTAGTTTTCTCTCCGAGTGTCGTATCTCTCGAGGAGTGGACGAAGCGAATTAGTTTAATTAATCTAATTAGGCAAAGATTAGGATTGGTTTATGAAAGTCTTCTCGAATCGATTATAAAAAGGGAGCAGAGTAAAAATAATAAATTAAGTTTACATAGTATAAGTATGGATCTGGTCTTAGGGTCTAGACATCATTTGGATATATTTTATCATATTAAATTAGTGGTTGGAATAATAATATTACTATTACTACTCATCCATTTCTAGATTTGTACTTAATCCATTGCACTTGAATCATAGCCTTTTGGCATACAATATTTTCTCAATAAATAGTTAATTAAATCTTTCGAGATTAATTAACTACATAAGGCAAGAACAATAGATTAACCACTCCAACATTAATTTAACATAAAAATATAAACAACCAAACTAGTCCGGACCAAGAGATCCGGACCCTAACTCATACTATGCAAACATAAATTAAAATAACATTTTATTAAATGAAGAAAACTTACTACTTCCGTAAAAGCGGAACAGAACAGATCGGGAGTCAAATCCTCCGGAAAATACTTAAAAATAATAACTAAACTAATCTACAATGAAATATTGAGCAAATTGAAGGGGAAACCTGAAATGGGGTTGTGAGATGGTGTTGGAATGGTGGAGATCGCGCTGCTTTTATAGGACAGAGGCCGAGGCATCCAAGTCAAAGCGTCTGGATCCAAAGCGTCCAAAGATGGACGCCTTACGCGGCCCGTCCATTTGCTGCTTGCCACGTGTCTTCCTTGATCTGCAATTCAGCCAAGGCGTCCAACTCCCAAGCGTCCAAGTTGGACGCCTTAGGCCCTGGTCCGTTTGGGCTTCGCGGCTGATGCGAGATCTTGACCCAATTTTGCTGGCTTTCGGCCCGAACGTCGATTCTATCTTCCCAGAAGCTCGTTCAAGCCCGAATCTTGATCCTTTGATGATTTATTCCCTTTTTCTCAAGCATTTGAACATAGAATGGATGATTTGTGATGATTTAATGTGGAATCCCATTTTATGACTCTTAGAACGAAAAAGAGAGTTTTATTCATTGAAATCACATTTTATAAGATGATTAAATACTATTTATGTGCAATAACGTTCAGAATATGATGTAAATGATAAGAACGAAATGGACTTATCAAAAACCGATACAACTCGAGAACTTGAATCACACAAGTATAACAGCAATAATAGGAGTGAATAATTAATGTTATTCCTTTTGAGAAGCCTTTGGCTTTATATGCATACATACGTACAGGAGAAAGACTTTGGCCATGCTAAACCCAAGCCACAATATTAGGAAGATTACAACTATACGGATAGGAATAAACAGAAGATAGATACAACTAGATACAATGAACTTAGACATTCTAAGTTATGGAGAAGTCTCCTTAATACGCCCCCGCAAGATGGCGGTTCCGTCGGAGACGCCAATCTTGGACCGGAATTTGTGAAACAGAGCACGACCCAGTGGCTTAGTAAGAATATCCGCGGTCTGCTGCGTAGTAGGGACATGGACAACATGCAAACGTCAAGCAGCAACGACATCCCGAACAAAGAAATAATCAAGGGCAAGATGCTTCATGCGGGAGTGAAAAACCGGATTCTTGCAGACATACACAGCACTCAGATTGTCGCAAAAGAGACGAGGAGCAGGAAGAGACCCCACTCGCAGCTCAGACAGAAGGTTTTGAACCCAAGCAAGCTCAGCGACGGCATGTGCAAGCGCAAGATATTCAGCCTCCGTCGATGAACGAGAAACCGTTTTTTGGCGGGTAGATTTCCATGAGATAATGTCGGAGCCAAGATAGAGAACATAAACGGTAGTAGACCGACCACCGTCAGTAACCCCTCCCCAATCAGCATCGGAGAAAGCAGACAGCTTCAAAGGGACAGTGCGAGAAAGAAACAAGCCATGGAACAGTGTAGACTTGAGATACCGGAGTAGACGTTTGAGAGCCTCCCAATGACCTGTAGTTGGAGCATGCATAAACTGAGCAAGCCGATTAACAGCAAAAGAAACATCAGACCGAGTGAGAGAAAGATATTGCAACCGGCCAAGGACGCGGCGGAAAGCAGTAGCATCGGCCGAGGAAGCGGCTTCAGATGACCCGAGAGAGGAATGAGCCGCCATAGGAGTGGAATGACCCTTCGCATCATCCATAGTTGTACTGTCAAGAATATTAGTGATATACTGAGCCTGAGACAAGAACACACCTGATGGCATAGGAATGACCTCAACCCCAAGAAAATGATGAAGGGCACCCAAATCCTTCAAAGAGAATCGGCAGGACAATGTCTCAATAAAGGAAGAAATAAACACGGAGGAGTTGCCGGTAATAATGATATCATCCACATAGACGAGGAAATAAGCCAGCACACGATCCTTGGCATACACGAACAAAGAGGAATCAGCCCTCGACTTACAAAAACCAGTGGCAAGCAAGAAAGCCGATAAGGAGTCATACCATGCGCGGGGAGCCTGTTTTAACCCATATATAGCCTTAGAGAGCCGACACACATGTGAAGGAAAATCTGGATGAACATAACTAGGAGGCTGCTCCATAAATACCTGTTCGGACAACTTACCATTAAGAAAAGCATTATTAATGTCCAATTGCCGCAAAGGCCAGTTATGCGCAAGTGCAAGGCTTAACATGAGCCGAATGGTAACCGGCTTCATAACCGGACTAAAAGTCTCAAAATAGTCACGACCCGGTGTCTGTAAGTACCCCTTGGCAACAAGACGAGCTTTAAAACGATCAATGGACCCATCTGGATGACGCTTAATACGGAATACCCATTTGCAACCAATCGGACGTTGTGCCCCCCGAGGGACAAGCTCCCATGTGGCATTTTTTTGCAAGGCGTGATACTCCGCATCCATGGCCGCTCGCCAACGAGAGTCCTTGAGAGCCTGGGCAACAGTTTTGGGTTCAAGAGACTCGGGTAACGGATGACGAGTTGTGACATGTTATTCCGGAGAGCGAGTGACAAACTCAGGATTGAAAATTCTAGAATTAGGACGACATTGTCGAATGGGACGCTGGAGACTGGCATTGGAAGGGAAAACAGTGGGTGGGGAAGCGGCGGTAGTAGTCGTACCAGAGGAAGGAGGAGATGAGGTGGGCACAGGGTTATCATGGGGAACAGGTAAGGGGGATGACAGGACTGGTGGAACGGCTGAGGCTAATGAATGGCGAACCGCAGGGAGGGGAAGAGCAGGCGGCTGGGTGGAAGAGGAGGGAGAGAGAGACACATAGGGATAGTGGTGTGAAACAAACTTGACATGGCGAGACACATAGACACGGTGGGTGTGAGGATCAAGACAGAGATATGCAGACTGACTGGTGGAATAACCAACGAACACACAGGCGATGGACTTAGGTTGGAGTTTAGAAGTAGTATATGGGCGAAGCCAAGGATAGCACAAACACCCAAAAGGTTGAAGTTTGAGATAGTTCGGATCACGAGAGAAAAGACATTGATAGGGACTACAATTGTGCAAGAGCGGGGTGGGCATGCGATTTATGAGATAAACCGCAGTTTGAAATGCATACGGCCAAAAGGAGAGAGACATAGAGGCAAGATGAAGTAACGACAAACCCGTCTCAACAACATGGCGATGCCGGCGCTCAGACGTGCCATTATGCTCAGGTGTGTGAGGAGGGGTAGTGAAATGAGACACCCCTTGAGACGCAAGAAACGACCGCATTTTAATATACTCCCCACCGTTGTCAGAGTAAAGAGAGATGATTTGTTTGTTGAAAAACTTTTCCACTAAATTTTTATAGATGGGAAAAATAGTGGAAACCTCAGACTTACGCCGCAATGGATAGAGCTAGATATACTTAGTAAAATGGTCAACAAAGATAACATAATATTTATATCCATCAACAGACATATCATTGCAAGACCATACATCAGAATAAATAAGTTGTAACGGGGCAGTGCTTGTGAGGGAATGATCAGAGAAAGGCAATTTATGGCTTTTATTAATGGAGCATGCAGAACAATGAAAAGTGTCAAAAGCATGTGTAGACACAGACTTATTACAATATGGTAATATTTGAGACAAAACTTTATTGGAAGGGTGCCCAAGCGCATGATGGAGATCGGACAGACCAATATGATGCACCTCTGGTGGACGAACCGGAATTGCATAATAAACACCGGCATGATTTTTACCGTGAAGAAGAGGCACCCCCGTTGTCAGATCCTTAACCAAAAAAGACAAAGGAAAAAATTCAACGGAGACATGATTAGTTTGACAAAGCTGAGAAACAGACACAAGGTTTCTGGACAGTTGAGGAACACACAAAACATTGGTTAAGGAAAGGGACCCAGAAGACGTGGGAATAGACGTAGTGCCAACATGAAAAATAGGGAGACCCTTACCATTGCCTAGACGAATTTCATCGGGACCACCATATTCAGAGAATGACTGGAGATGCTGAGGCGCAGGAGTAGTATGGTGACTTGCACCACTGTCAAACATCCACTGATTCACCCCATCAGGAGCAAGCGATGTGGCATGCACGGCAGGAGAAGACATGTTGTGAGACGAAGCGGAGACCGTCTGCATGCCATGTTCACGAAGGAGACGAGCCAATTTACGACAGACCTTTATGTCATGCCCTGGGATGGAGCAGAACTGGCAGGCCAAAGATGACCCATCGTGAGGACGAGACGATTTGAAGGCCCCACCGGAGCAGCACGCTGACTGCCGTAAGACCTCGAGAAGGGTGCGGAAGGACCACCAGGTGCACGATGGCCAGCAGAGGGGTGGCGCTGAGTCGCATTTGCAGTAGCCACCACAGGAGAAGAGACATCATCAGTAAGGTGTAACTTGCGTTCAAAATCACGCAAAATATCTCCAAGTTCAGGAAACGGGAGTTGGGAGCCACGAATGAAAGCAGCAGACGCAATGGGATCGTAATCCGAACCAAGTTGATTGAGAACATGTGCCACCAGATCTTCTTCAGCAACAGGACTTTGATTAAGTGCAAGCTCATTAGCAATGGAGTGCATGTCATGGAGATACTCATTAATAGACCGAGTACCACGCGGATTCTTTCCAAGTTTAGACTTGAGGGCTAAAATGTGACCGCGACTCGCACTCGCAAAACTGGAGTGGAGATTGAGCCACGCCTCACGAGCCGTTTCAACATTGGAGATGAGCGGTTGGATTGTGTCAGTGCAGCTACCGAGGAGAGCCCCAACAATAGATTGGTCTTGACGGAACCAGATGGAGTAACAGGGGTTAGCGGAGCCGCCAACCGTGGAGGAGGGAGCCGTGAGCGTCCCATCAACATAGCCCAGGAGATCAAGGCCGATGAGTGTGGAGCGAACTTGACGCTGCCAGATCGGAAAATTTGTGGTGATCAGTTTGATCGGAAAATGTGTCTTCGCATGGAGTTGAGGAACAGGGGTATCTTTTGTGATGACAATTGCCATGCTCAAGCCAACGGAAAGAGAACAGGCAGAAAGAGGATCGAACTAGAAAAAAAAATCTAGTTGCTCTGATACCGTATAACAGCAATAATAGGAGTGAATAATTGATGTTATTCCTTTTGAGAAGCCTTTGGCTTTATATGCATACATACGTACAGGAGAAAGACTTTGGCCATGCTAAACCCAAGCCACAATATTAGGAAGATTACAACTATACGGATAGGAATAAACAGAAGATAGATACAACTAGATACAATGAACTTGGACATTCTAAGTTATGGAGAAGTCTCCTTAATAACAAGCCTCAACTTCTTACAACAAGACTTGAGTCACACAAGCTTTAACAACAACAAGACTTGAATCACACAACTCTTAGCAATACTCAAAAAGATTAAGTTTACAACACAAGAATGAAAGCTCACACAATTTGAGCAAGAAGTGTTGAAATATGAAAGCTCTATGGATGACAAAATCTTTATCATTCAATAAAAATATTTCTAACTCTCAAAATAATATATTTGATGAGGAAGATGGAAGCAAGAATTAAATATTGATCAATGAAGATATTGGAGTGCAAGAGATGTATTTTTAATGAAGGAGGATGAGTGTATATATAGAGGAAAAAGAAATAAATCTGTTGGAAGTAGGGAAGAGGTGATTTTGACAGATTAGAGCATTGGGGATCGATCCAGGGCAAGAGATCGATCGTCTCGAGTAAACTACGGAAAATAAATTTATGTCAAAAGCATGGGGGATCAATCCAAGGTAGGGGATCAATCCTCTGGAACCAAAATTCAGGAGACGGATTTTTGCAAGGCTACGGGGGATCGATTCACACTCAAGGATCGATCCTACGAACAATTTGGAAAAAAATATATGATCGATCCATTCGCTTGGATCAATCCAGGCTCGGATCACTCTGCACAAGTGATTGATCCAGGAAGGATGATCGATCCCCTAACGAACAATGGCCAAACAAGGAGAACCCAAAGCATGTGTGAGAGTGGGGAGTACAATTGGAGCTTAATGATTTGTTTTAGACAACAATTTGAACATGATAAGTCTCTCATAAACAAACAAATCAAATGAGTTGAAAAGAATTAACTTAAATTCAAAATTTGAATTAAATAATGAATTTTTGTGTAGAAACTAAGTCCCAAAAATATTGTGTGTCAAACGAAGTACAAGAAAAATCTTTAAAGTGTATATTTCTTACCACAAAAAGTGTGTGTATCCTAAAAATTTAAATTTAAATTTAAAGCGTTGATTTTTATTGCCGTAACTTTCTTGATACCCCTCTTTGCTTTTCTTGATACGAAAAATAAATTTTCCATTATCATTTGAATTTAATAATCTTGTTTGTTATTCATCAAAACAAAAATATTTCAGAAAAATAATAAAGGGGTTTGAACTCATGTCCAACAATTTCCCCCTTTTTGATAATGACAAACATAGTTGAGAACAGGCAAAGTAAGAGTTCAAGAAATACTTCTTTTAGATTGATTCCCTCTGCATGGATAGAGAAGTGCAGTAAAAAAATAATTTCGGAGTAATAAGCGGAAAAAACGTTTTTGAAAAACAAGTTTTCTCAACTATCCTTCCTTCCCCCTTTTGGCATTATCAACTGATAACCTTCCCCCTTAATTGATGCTGGGATTTTGAAGGATAGTAAAAAATGGCAAGAGTTTTCTTTGAAAGAGAACTCCTAGTAAAAAATGCCCCAAAGGGACAATATGTTTTAAAAAAGAACACTATTGCCAAACCAACGATGATATTAATACACAATCATAATCTACATCATCAATGAACAACAATAACTAGCATAATTAAAGTAACATCATCATCCACCAAAAGAGTCATAATAACATATAATACTGTATCATTAGAAGTCATCACATAAAGAGAGATAGAGAAGTCAAAGTGAACTCGTTGGTCGGGATCCACCGCTGTAACTATGACGCAGTCCGAGATAAGGTCGTCGCTCTATCTCTGCCATCCGCTACTCAAGACGCGAGAGACGATGGCCTTGCATGGTCATCTCCATGCGAGTGTGCGCCACATCCATGCGAGTACAAGTCACGGCGTCTAAAATCCGTTGAAGGATGGAACGATCAGTGTGACGCGATGAAGCAGAGTGTGAAAATCGAGTAGGAGAGGAACGCCGAGTGGATTCCACTTGAGCTACTTCTTGGACATGCGGCAGTTCGCCCTCCGGGTCATGTTCTTCTTCACCCTCTCCTTCTCCTTCTTCTTTTTCTCTTTCTTCTTCTCCTTCTTCTTCTTGCACGGTCCTTAGTACATTAGAGCGGTTGAAAGTCGCGACATCGATGTACCACGTGTGGTTTTTGTTGACGTGGATGTCTTTTATCAAAGGCACCTCAAAATCTCTCAAAATGTTCATGATCGGGAACACATAACCAAGAGACACTTTTTTTTGATAAAATATAAATAGAATAAAGAGTAAGAATGTACAACTAGAACGGGCATACCCGAGCTTGGAAATGGCAGTTTCCAAATCCATAAAGACAAGTAACAACAACACCAAATGTCCACAATCAATCAACAAGACAACAAACAAAACATAGGCACAAACGCTAAGAACAAGAAACAAACAAACATTAGAAGGTTATAGAGTACAAAGGCCACATCCTCCCTAGGATAGAATAAACCATAACCTTGATTTTATAAGTCACAACCTCAATTGAGAGAGGCTCACGCTCAAAGTGGGCAGCATTACGTAGCTTCCAAAGGTGGAAAACAGTACACGCAAAAGCAATCCTTCTTGCCTTCTTGAGAATCCCATCCCCTCGCCTAAATGCCTTCAGCCATCTTATGGTTCTGGTGAGGGTACTCAGGTGTCCTTCCGTACCTAGCCAAGTCTTGATATTGTGCCAAACTTCTTTAGAGAATTGGCAGCTAAAGAACAGGTGGTCCACATCTTCCAACCCATGTCCACAGAAGGTGCAGTCCATAGGTAAACCGAGGAATTCCAAGTTTGTTTTGATGGGCAACCTCCTCCTGAGTGCCAGCCACATCATAAAGGAACACTTAGGAGGAATATAGCTCTGCCGGATGAAAGCTATCGAAGGCTTCGGGTTGGCTTTGGCGCTAAACAAATCATAAACCTTCCTTGGAATGAGGTTACTTGCCAAGCAAAAGGGAATCATAGCATCTTCCATAGAAGGATAGTGGTCACCAAGCTTTTGGACCAAAAGCTCACGCACATAGTCAAGCCTTTTGGAGAAGACAGAGTGTCTCTTCTTGGGTTGCCACTACCACAGGTTTTCACCCTGAATGTAAACATTGTGAACCCATTTGACCCAAAGGGTGTCCTTCTTAGCTGCCAAGTTCCACAGAAGTTTGCACAACAGAGGATTCTTCCAGGTATTGGCATCCTTCAAACCCAGTCCACCTTCAGCCCTTGGCTTGCAAATATCAGCCCAGGCAACCTTGGCAAGTTTTCTGCCCCAAAGGAAGTCTCTACACATGGGGGTGATACGGTCAAGCACATATTTCTAGACAGGGAAGGCCTGGAGCCAAAAGGATTGGACTCCCTGTACCACTGCTCTAATCAGTTCCAATCTGCCAGCATAGGATAACTTCAAAGTACTCAATTTAGACAGAAAGCCATCAACAGTTTTGATCAAAGGGAAAAAATTACTCTCAGAGATCCTTTGAGAGGCCAAAGGGAGACCCAGTTATCTAACAGGAAGCGAACACAGTTTAGTACGACGGAGGCGTAAACCCGTGTTCCAATAGATAAGGTGTTGAGCAATGAGGAAATTATCCACAAGAGATCTCCCTGGGACAAAGGCCCCTTGTGCAGGGTCAATCAAATCAGGGAGTAAAGGAGCCATACGCTTAGCCAAAATCTTGGTGATGACTTTGTAAAGAACATTGAGGCAGGCAATGGTCCTAAAATCTTTAACGGTTGGTTTATGGGAAGATTTAGGTATGAGAACAATCATAGCATGATTAATCTGTCTCAATAATTTCCCTGAGGTGAAGAATTCCAACACAGCTTCATAGATGTCCCTACCCACAACTGCCCACTGATCCTTGAAGAAGGCTGCAGTATAGCCATCAGGGCCTGGAGCCTTGTCATTGCCAATGTCAAAGACTGCCTCCCTCACCTCCTCAGGTGTAACAGAAGCAAGGAGACTGGATTGGGCAGAAGAAGGAACTCTGGTTCCAGCAGTCAAAATCTCCAGCTCAATGGGTTCAATTGAAGAAGTAGTGCCAAACAGTGTAGTAAAGTAGTCCACAAAGATATTAGCCACCTCATCCTTGGAAGTAGTTTTAGATCCATCCTCTGTAACCAAGAACCCAACAATATTTTTCCTCCTGTTCTTCTTGACAATGGAGTGGAAGTAACTTGTGCATCTATCAGAATTCATAAGAAAGTCACATTTGGCTTTTTGTTGATAGAAGGCCAATTCAACATCAAGGAGGAAATTAGCTCTCTTCCTTTTAATATCAGCACCATCAAGAAGGCTTTGATTATTAGGGTCCAGGGCCACCTACTTCATCACCAATCCATACTCTTCCTTAGCTTCCATAGCTCTTCTAGAAATATGACCAAAAGCCTGTTTGTTGAGGGATTTTAAGGGGGGTTTGAGGCGTTTAAGCTTGGAGCATAAGGAGAATTGCTTAGAGCCAACCACACCTGCCTCCCAAGACTGGGAGACCAGCCCATTGAAGCCCTCATGCTTAAGCCACATATTGAAGAATCTGAAAGGCCTGGACCTGTTACCAAGGGGTGCACCACACTGGAAGAGGATGGGGAAGTGGTCAGAGAGGAAGTTGAAATCCAAAAATTCACAAGTTGGAGCCAAACCAATGTCTCCCCAGGATTGGTTAGCAAGGACTCTGTCCAGTGTAGCAAGCTTGTTCCCTTTATGCCCAAGTGAAGAAATTGCCAGTAGAAGGAACATATTCTAAACAGTTAGAAGACTTGAAGCCTTGCAAATCAGTCATATAATATGCCCCTTGACTCATACAATTCACTCTCTCATTGCTAGCCAAAACACAGTTAAAATCACCAAGCAATGCCCATGGTTTGGAAATATTCTGTGCTAGGGAGGATAAATCATTCCACAGCTCCCTTCTTTTGGTAACTATGTACAGGCCATAGATAAAAGATAGGAAAAACTCCTTTTGTGTTGTGAGGCAATGGACTTCACAGTGAAGATATTACTCACCCGCTCCCAAAATATTACAAGCAAAAAAGGAAGGGTTCCACAGGATCACCATGCGACTGCCAGGCAAGACTTCAAAATTGGTGGCAGATCTCCACCCAGGCAGTTTGGTAGTCACAAAATTTTCCAACTTAGCTCTCGTGATCTTGGTCTCCAGCAGGCATACAAAA